AAGCAATTCCACTTCAACACACCAAGTCCTCGAGGAGCAATTCCCCACCCTGGGTTACTTCCTACCCAGTCCTTATAAGAAGCCTTTTCCATCTTCACACTCTGGTCTGGAAGCTTTTATTGCAGTCCCTCTCAGCTTGGCTGCTACTACTTGGTCTGGCTGAGCCTCCTCCCCAGGAGCTCCTGCAGCACCCCCTTCTCCTATGGCAGTCAGCCCAGACTGAGCAGCTCCAGAGGCTTTTATAGCCAGCCTCTAGGGCTGTGGGGGTGGGGTGCTCTCAGTCAGCTGGGCCATGTTAACTCCTCCAGCCTCACTGAGGTATTGGTACACTGCGTCACAGTGAGTTACCTTCTTTTATCGGACCAACTCTGATGAAGAGAAAAAGCTTTTGAGCTACATAGAAGTCCTCAGAACTAGGAAAGGTACACAGAGCATCCCAGCTAAATACAAGGTGAAGCAGAATGTTTAGTATTAGGTATGTTAAAATGTACTTAAGTAAATGTATAACCACTGAAAATTTCAGCGGTTAGATACAGGGTGGCAGTCAGCTCCCGGGAAGCAACTGCACATCAGAAGCCAACTTTTAAACTAGCTGCCCGCATGTACCGGCTCCCATCTGCCCTCTTCCCCACATGCTGCTGCCTCTCATACAGAGGCAGCAGTATGAGGTAGTGGGGAAAGACAGCCATGAAGGTTAACCTGTACGCCTATGCTCACTAGTTAATCATGTAGAAAGTTACAATCTGTAGTTACTCTAAACAGAGATATGAAAGTGCAACTCCCTAAACTGGGACTCTCTGGTCTGGCAACAACCGTGGTAGGCAGGACCACAGATGTTCCTGGACCAGATATCCCATGGGTAGGGAGGCCACAGCGCCAGAGGGATCAGGCGGCACAGGGAATCCTGCAATGTGGCCGGGAGTCTTGCAGTAGGGAGCTTTGGCGGCTTAAGTACCCCGCAGCAAGGAGTCTGCCTGCACTGGGGTGCCATTGGCACAGCCAGGAGTCCCATGGGAAGGGCTCAGGCCGTGTGGGGAGCTCCAGTGGTTTGTACAGAGCTGCTCCCTGTAGCAATGTGCTATTTAGGGAGAACTTAGGGTTCTACCGGTAGCACATAGCTAGAGGGAGCAGCTTTGTATGAGCCCCTGGCGATAGTCAGGAGCATGGCAGGGGCTCAGGCAGGTCAAGGAACCCTGCAGCGTGGCTAAAAGCCCTGTGGCAGGGGGCTCAGGCAGTGACGGGAACTCCAGTGGCACAGCAAGCCCCGCGGCAGGGGCCTCAAGCGGCGCAGCTGGGAATTCCAGGGTTTGAGGGGTCCAGCCACGGCCAGCAGCACAGACAGCTGAAGACAATGGGAGCTGGCTGGGGCCAGAAGCAGAGTCAATGGGTGCCTGGGAGGCCGGTGTCAGGGGACCTCCCCTGGGATGGCAAATTCCTGTGTTCGGGACCAGCCGGGTCCCGGGGTGTGAGACATGAAGGTCCAACCTGTATTTAACAGGTATTTCAAGGGAACAATTTAAGTTGAAGTGGCCCATTAACATTCCTGCAGTCCTAAAGAGGAAAGGAAAGCAGGGGGGGAGGGGGCAAACTTACGGGAGCAGAAGTGTTAGTGGGTTATAGCTTCTTGTAAGAGGCCATAAACTTAATGTCTCTATTAAGTCCACGATTTTTAGTGTCTAGCAAAGTTATCAATTTCAGCTCCCAGGCTTGTCTTTTGAAAGGATTGTGCAGATTTCCCTTGAGGATGAAGACTCAGAGGTTGGTATAGAGTGAATGCTTTTGATTTACAGGGGAGTAACAAGTGACAGAGTGTTAGTCTTATTTTCTTGTGAGAGTTCATTCAACTCCCCAATTATATACAAGAAATCCACTGACTACTACACCTACCTTCATAAATCCAGTAATCATACAAAGCACATTAAGAAATCTAATATCTACTGCCAGGCACTCAGATATAACAGAATATGCTCCAAGGATAATCAATAATGCTATTAGAGAAGTAAATGCAGCCCCCAAAAAATCATCCAAATATACAGAGAAAAAAACCTGCTTTATTAAAAATAAAAATCCTCCAACCACATACCTCTAGTGATCACCTAACACACTATGCTAGAACTCAAGTAAGTGTAACTACAACCCGTACTTAATCTGGAGAGAAATCATTCCTGAACCACCTCTTCCACCCTCCAAACCTCTCAGTCACTCAAAGCTCAGTAGCAGAAGCAAGCTCCTCACAAACCACAACATACAAACTCAAAGAGGCACCTTCACCAGACACCTTTCCAAGATTCATAGTCCTATGCACACACATCACATGTGGTGTACCCATTCCAATGTACTAACTGCCCTGATAACTGTGTGGGTAAAACAAAGCGGTCCCTACTTGTTTTCTATAAAGTCATAGAAAAATGATAATTAGAGGGGGTTAACAATCCACCCATTTGACTAAAGGGATGTTAACAGGCCACTTGACTTCAAATGGCCTTTAAATATGCATCAGACTGCTTTATGCTAAGTAAAGATTGAAAAAAATTGTTTATCCATGACATTTTTAATAGGTTTCCCTGACCTGAGAAAAGCTCTGTCCTAGCTCAAAAGCTTGTCTCTCACCAACAAAAGTTACTCCCAAAAAATTATCATACCCAGCTTGCCTCTCATATCCTGGGACCAATCTCCCTCCCCATATTTTCTGCAACTGTGAAAATAGATCAAAAATAAAAAATGCATAAGAACAAACATCAGTATTACTGGTTGATGTTATAAAAAATGAAATTCTACCAGCCTAGTCTTTTTAAAACATAAAAAACCCCTTATCGCTGAAGCATCTGCAACTGCCCAGCAACATAGACCACTGATCAATAGCAACTACTGCCAGTCTCAATTTTATTGCCTTCATGAGCACTTCCAAAGACAATTTTAAATTTGATTTCTTCTTGTTGCAACAAGGAAGAGGGCGGTGGAGGGAAAGTTAATTGTGAAGAATTATGATCCTTATCCCTCAAAGACATATGCACTTAAAGGGGACTGTTCATAGTATGGGATTACTTGGTTTGTAATACTTATGCACATGCATTACTTTTGAAAGACTAGTGCCTAGGCCAGCGGCTCTTCAAGTGTGATCTGAGATAGGGATGTTCAGTATCAGTTAATTAACTAATTGAGTAGTTGATGGAATTTCCATCAACTACTCCATTAGTTGATGAGGAGTGCTCCTGCTGCAGCTCTGCACTTTAAAAGAGCCCAGTGGGCTCTTACTACATTTACAGTGCAGAGTTGCAGTGGGGTTAGCTACCGGAGGCATCACAAGCTGGGGCTTAGCAGTCCCAGCTCACGCCATCCCCGGGGCCGCTGTCCCCCACATCACACACCGTGGAGACGGTGCTGGGGGGAACCGGCTTTTAAGCTGGCTTCCCCCGCACCAGCTCCTGCTCCTCCCCCTCCCCTCCACCTATCTGCCCCTGATACAGAGGCAACAAGTGGGCAAGAGGTAGTAACTAGTTGAATACACTCGACTACCCAATAAGCCTATGCTTATCGAGTAGTCGACTACTCAATTAGTCATTTACATCCCTAGTCTGTGATTGTCTTACAGGTGGGCCATGGGCTTGGGGCTCATCCCCCACAGCAGGAAGCCATTGCTGGTACTCTAGTCCCACACCCCTCAGCTCCTCAAGGCTGAAGTACCGCTGGGGCAAGCCTTTCAGGTCAGATCTGACTTGCAAGGGAAGGAAGCAGCTCCGTGTATTGCCATTCTCCCTTCCCTCAACAGGGGGGTGGGAAGGAGGGGGGTGTTGCAGTGCAGGGAACCCCTCCCTTGCAGGCAGTCCCTGCTGCTTCAACTGGTCAGAATCACAGCTAATGGGAACAGCAGGAGGTGGTGCCTGGGAGCAGCAAGAAGCATGGAGCAAGGTACGCCCCCCATCCCTGCATGCCCAGACCCTCACACCACTGCAGCATCCTCCATCTCACTGAATCCCCACCCCACCCTCAGCCATCTCCTACCCCCAAACCTCCCAAACAGACCCCCTCCATCCTCAGTCCATTCCTGCACTCTACCTTCCATTCTCAGTCCGCTCCTGAACCATACCCTCCAGCCAGACCCCTCACCCCACCTTACTCTGCACCCATTTTGTTATCATGGTTGGTTGGCTGGAGGTCCATAGAAAGGCTTGTATTGAGAGGGATGGGCCAGGGTCAAAAAGTTTGAGAACCACTGGCCTAGGCTATTAACTAAGGAAACATCTGTTCATGTGGTTTTACTAAAATTTTCTAGTGATCTGGTTTGTAATGGGGGTGGGAAATGATTTCGTTATTATTACTCAGTGGGAACTACTTTCCTAGTGTTAACCCTGAATAGTGCACCATGTGGACAGTATGGGCATCTATAAACCATGTAAATCAAAATGGAGTTTGTGGACTGAGGGACAATTCAAGATGGAAACCTGAGAAGCTTTTGCTGCCAAAATCATCACATGGCTGTGCACACTGTACCATGGTGCTGCACACAGTATGGAAGTCTGCACCCGACTAAGTTTTGCACCCAGCACTACGCCCTGTTTTACACTAGAGACCCTTAGAGTTTTCCCGCCTTGAACTCTATAAAATCTAGAATCCTGAAGCGATCAGGTTGGCAGTTTCTTGCACCATCCTGGAGAAGGAGACGTCCTGTCACAAGAGAAGACTGTGGTGAAGGCCCAGTCTAGCTGACAGACTTACCTGATTCCATTCCTGACATCCTCGGGGTGCTTCAGCCCACACTGTGGTGATAGCCCAGCATCGTGAGCCTTAGCTACCTGATTGCCCTCTACATCACTGGGACTGAAACAGAGCCTCAAACATCGTTCGGCACCTGCTGTGGTGAAGGCCCTCACAGCGCTTAGAACCACTCTGACTATCACTCACAAACTGCGCGTTTGTCCATTGTGCAAGCAGAGACTTATCAAATCGAGCATCTCCCCACATCCTCAAGGACGCCTCAGTGTTCCTCCCCTGACAGCTACCTTAAGCTAAAAGGTTGAAGGTCCTGAACATCAAGCTGCCTCTGACGGACTAAGTATAATATTCTGTTGCCAGTTATAGCTCTCCTATCTTCTTTTATTTCAGAGGGTGAAGGGCTGGATTATCGATTCAGTGTTGTGTTGATGTTACTTGCTGCATCTTCAATATACCTTTTACATTTCAATCTGACACGTGTCCGTGTTTATTTAACGGGACTGGGGGTAAATCCGCCGGTGACAGATACGGTAGTTTCCAGGTTGGACCTCCTTCTGGGGACAAAAGCATTTTACCATTTAATCGGAGCAGGCCCCATTAAATTTCATAGAATCATAGAATAATAGGACTGGAAGGGACCTCGAGAGGTCATCGAGTCCAGCCCCCCGCCCTCAAGGCAGGACCAAGCTCCGTCTACAATTTCGTTTCCTAGTGTACCTTTGCTGGTAACACTAGATATTATTTTGATGCTGTACAGTCTCTCCTTCTTTGCCTTGAGCAATGTTTCCTTGGGGTCCACCAAGAGGATATTGCATAAGCATTGCATAAGGGCCAGGATTAGGTTAAACGAAGGAGATAAAAGTAGACTACAGCTAAAACTGATGCATCACAACCATTAACATATTACTTTCAGCAACTAATGAGTGGAAGAGGCTGGTTGCACTCATTTGGCATTCTCCAAAGGGTCAGACAGAGACCTATCTACTACAGCTTGGCTAGTGGAGTCCATCTGGCCAAATAGCCCCAAAGGCTATTTTTATTTGAAGTTATAAAATGGGGCTCTTCCATCATTCGTTTTTACATTAACAGCAACTCTTCTACCCTATTTTTGATAGAAAAATGTGACTCTCTGTGGACTAGTTACTTCATACATGTCAAGCGTTTTGACATTTCAGCTGAGGGGAGAAGGGACTTTTAGAATGTTTTACTTTTTTATATATCCCTTGTGATGAAGTAGAAATTTTCTGTCATTTTTATGAAGCCTAGTGTACCTCAGCTTCTTTCTACACTTTCACTTACTAGCTGGTGGGTGCAGAAAATATTATGCATTGTGGAACAGTGCAGGAAACCAGGGGTTGAATGAATGGGTCATTAAAGGAGTGGTTCAAACAGAGACAGATCAGCACAGAATCCAAACACTACAGAAATTCCAGCAAACCAGGTGAACTCAGCATAGCTCTGCTGGGACACAAAAAGAGCGAGAGCTTACCAACAGGGGATGAACAGTAGGCTTCTGAAAGAGTCTGGTTGTTGTCATCTGGCATTCTCCAAAAGGTAAAATAGAGATAGGCCCTAAAATGCAATCTACCACAGCTTAGCTGGTGGAGTCTATCTGGCAAGCTAGAATACAGTAATGGATCTTTTATTTCACTGCTCTATGCTAGTTTAAGGAATTTAAATGCTCTATTGTAGCTGACTATATTAAATCTTTCGCTTTTGAAAACCCTGCCTGGCATCACTGAAAATACTTGCTAACACTTGGTATATTAGTCCTTGAAGAGCAGAGTCTCTAATCAGCAGTCTACCTAGAATGACCAAACTGGGCAAAGCTCAGAAAATGAAGCAAGAATGCTTGAGTCCAGAGGCTTAGTCTCTGAGGCAAAGAGGCTGTGTGACCTACCTTGAAGGAAGAATGATCTGTATTACTGAAGTGGTTCCTCCAAGTGACTGGCTAAAAACTGGGGCATAGCACTGATCCTATGAACCCCAGGACATGTCTATTAATACAAATGCCAAACACTTGGGAAAAATTTCAAACAAAATTCAAGCACTCCACCTCAACCCATTTTGAATTTTAATAAAACACTACATACTCCAATTCTCTTGTTTCACAAGGAGCTGTGGTTAAAGAACTGGCAGAAAAAAAAACGGTGACAAGATTTCATATCATTTTATGTAAACATGCACAAGCACTCTTCTTTCAGGTCATCTAGACACCAAATGCACAATATAGACTTGCTCTGGAACCCAAAACAAAGAAGTTCTGTCAAATTAACAGATTGTTGGTGTATGAAAGGAATGTCTAGTTACATAAAGTGCATTATTGTTCTTCATACAGCTGTGGTAGTTGTACGTACCTAAAACTGACTTTAAGAGCACTTGAGGAATCTGATATTTCAATACTGATGGTGGGGTTAGGTTTTTTTGTTCAACTGGGAGAGCTTTCTATTGGGATATGAACATAACTGAATATTTGAGTTCTTGGCACAGAAACATACTCTTTTTACTGAGAACAATAGTAACACAGACAATGCTCACTGTCAAATTTATGAACTTTAAGTGACTGAGTTTTTGATTAATTTTGATCTAGAGCAGTGTTTCCCAAAGCGGGCCATGGGCCTGCTTTGGGAAAGCCACTAGTAGGCCTGCACTGCCTTGTTTACTTAAAGGATCAGTAGCCACAGAGCCTTGCAGTTCCCATTGGCTCTGATATGCTGTCCCCAGATAGGACTGGACCCTGCTGCCTATGGGCATGGCACGGCCAGGTCTGGAGAAGACCCACCCAGGCACAGAGCAGCCAGGGCTGGCCCCACCCAGCCCCCCATCCCAGCCACAGCCCATCATGCCGCAGATGGTGGTGGGGAGTTTTTCCAGGGTTAACTTTTTAACCCTAGTGTTTAACCGGTTAACATTTTAAATGTTTAACATCCCTGCTACCTACCCGGTCTCTGTACCCTGAGATACACCCTCAGCCTATACAGCCCCTAGCTGCTGTTCTCTCTACCCTGAGCTGTTTTCAAACTTTTTGGGCTGAGGCCCCCTGCCTTTGAGTTATACACTTCTTTGTGCCTCTTCCCCCTCCATGTGTCCTGGTGTCTTGCTGAGGTGAATCGGAGATGGACACAGAACTCCCTCCCTGAAGAACAATGTGCAATGCCTCACTGACCCGTACCCACCCAAAACAGATGTCAAACTACACTTACGCCCCAAATCCCATCACCCTCTAGCCTTGGGAGTTTTTCCTAGCACATTGTGGAGGGTCTCAGAAGCTGGGAATGAGCAACAGGGAATAGATTATTTCTTCATTACCTGTTCTGTTCATTTCCCTTGGGGCACCTGGCACCGACCACTGTGGGAAGACAGGATACTGTCCTAGATCGACTTTTGGCCTACCCATTTTATGACCAATTCTTTCTCCAAAATATTTCCTTGCCTATCCATTTATACAGCAAAAGGTGAGTCATCCAAACTCTCATCTTAGTATTGCAACAATCTGACTGGCCCTGACACATGCAATTTTTTCCCCCTCATACCCATTCATAATGCTGCTGCAAACATAACTTTCTTATCCAACTGCTATAACCATGTCACCTTTCGCTGTAAATCCCTCCATTGGCTCCCTCTTCTCTACTGCCTTTTCCATACCTGAACATGAGCTCTGTGTTAGCTTAAAGCTTGTTTCTCTCCAGCAGAATTTAGTTTAAAAAAAAAAAAAAAAAAAAAAAAAAAGATATTACTTCACCCACTTTGTCACTCTGATAATGATTAAATAGTCAATTCATGAGTTGATCAGGAAGGAACAATGGTCACATCCCCTTTCCATTTAGACTGGGGGGGAGCAATGACCCCTACTGGTCCAATTCCCTCAGGGCAATCAAGAAGAGACAAAGCAAGATAAGGTTCATGGGAGCAATGGCCTGATAAGAGTTCTTCCTCTATAAGGGTGGATGATAAGCAGCATTCAGATGTCATTCTTACCCTGAGAAAAATACAATGCAAAGGGCAGATCTCAAAGACCCGCCTTGTTCTAAGATGGGCAGCAAAGGGGCAGAGGGAAA